AATTCTGAATCATAATTTAAGTAGTATAAACAATTTATAGTCGAACGGTTTTATTTATTTTCGCATCGTTTTCAAAATTAGTAGTAAAAGTAAATTTGAAGTCAAACATTGGTGAATATAATTTCCCTAATTCTAACTAGTAACTAGTAAAAATAATATATGGTCAGACGGAAATATTTATTTTCCCCTCAATTTAAAAATTAGTAGTAAAGATAAATTTTAAATCAGACAAGATTTTTAAAATTAATATTTTCTTATGGCATCAGTAGTGAAAGCAATTTTTAGTCAGACATTACTGTAATATCATCACAGTTTTTCTAAGGATATCGAATTGAGAGAAAAAATGTATCAAAATAGTTGCGAAGCAACGTTTTGATACGTTTTTTGTCTCAATTTGATATCCTTAGAAAAACTAAAATAATAAGAACATGATATAATATTTTATGTTATATAGAACATAAATAAATAAAGAATAGCAATGTTAATAAAATAATAAAAATAATAATAATAATACAAAAATATAAAAAATTATAATATTTATACAATAATAAAATTTATTATAATACAGAATATAGAAAAATTCGGATGAGGAGACGAACAAACGAAATTGATTTCTTATATACTATGTAGAATTGTTGAAATTCACGTGTGTATATCTACGTTGAATTGAGGGATATCTCATTTTTATTTCTATTGGTTAAAAAATATGAAATTACAATCCTATTCAGAAATTGGCAACGATGCAACTGATGGCCTTGTGATTCGATATGAAAAAAAATTTCAAGAATCAGTCATATTTGTATTACTAACCCAGTAAAATTGTTTCACTATTGGCTGAATGTTCTATTTTTTAAAATTGATTTAGAAAAAAAGAGGTGGGGAGAAGAGAAGAGAAAAGGAAAGAAAGATTTATTGCTGAAAGTTGAAAAAAAAGTTCTTATATATAGTATATAGTAAATTAAATTATACTCGCGCGCACTTGTAATCAATATAAGGTATTTTATCAAAAAAAAAGTATAGAAAAGATAAATTAATCTCTTGTTTCAATTTGGAATTTTTTTCCAATTTTTTGTTTGTTTTTATAAGTTTTTATAAGTTTTTATAAGCTTTGATTTTTGTTTTGAAAAAAGTAGTACAAGAAAATTAAAAAAATTAATAATAGTTGATGAAAATGATTTATTTTTCATTTTTATCAAATATTGACAATTCACTTTTAAATATTTCGTTAAATTCTTTTATTTCTCTTAATTCAGTAGTATGAAAAGTTAATGGTTTTAAATACATCGTTAAATTATTCTCTTATTTTTCTTAATTCAGTAGTATGAAAAGTTATATAGTCAGACAAATGTTTTCGTAATTTATTTTCGTCTAGCAAAAACTTTTCAATATTGTTTTTTAGTTGTAAGTGGCAGGATTAGTCGGAAAATTATACAAAATATTGTCAATTTTGTTTCTATCTATTTTTATTTATTCAGTTTATTGGACTAGTTTTATTTTCAATAGTAGAAGTTTGTGTTAGTCGGACAATTTTTTAAATTCTACTCATTTTTTTTTGTTTAAAAAAATTGTTCTAAAATTTTTAGTAGTTCAATTTAATTTTAGTCAGGCAATTACTTTAATATAAATTAGTTAAAAAGAACAAATTTTTAGTTAAATCTTGACTGACTTTTTTGTTATATCAGTTATTAAAAATGTCTGACTAATACTCAATTATACTACTGAAAAGAAATCTAGAATCTGAAAACTAATCTAATTAAGGAGAAATTGTAAATGTCTGACTAAAGCTCAATTTTACCACTGAAAATATACTTCTTTTATCAGTGGTATGAATTGAGCTTTAGTTGTCTAACTATAAAAAGTCTGACTATAATTTTTCATACTACTGAATTTAGAATAATAATTAAAACAATAATTTTTACTATTAAATTAGTTATTTTAAATCAATTAAAATTTTTAGGGGATAATATAATTATAATCAATACTATAATACCAATAATTATTGTAAATATACATAATTCCGGTTGTTTTACTAATGTCTGACTATAATTTTTTATACTACTAAATTTAACTGAAAATAAGTATCTAGACGAATAGAACTGACAAAGTTGCTTCAAATTATTTAAATTATCGTCCTACTAAAACTTAACTGCACTACTGAAAAGAAATGCAGAAAAATAAAACTAATATAATTATAGTACAAATTGAAATAATTGTCTGACTAAAACTCAAATTCACTACTGAAAATAAATGTGGTTGCTCAAAATTGATATAACTATTAGAAACTTAATAAAATGTCTGATTAATACCCAATTATACTACTGAAATATTATGTAGAAACTTAAAACTGCTGTAATAAGCAGAAATTTCGATTGTCTGACTAAAACTCAAATATACTACTCAAAATAAATGTAGTTGCTCAAAATTGATATAATTAGTAAAAGCTTGATGAAATGTCTGTCTAAAACTCAACTATACTACTGAAATAAAATGTAAAAACTTAAAACTGATGTAATTGGCAAAAATTATCATTGTCTGACTAAAGCTCAATTGTACTACTGAAAATATAAATGCAGACGTTTCACTAAAGTCTGACTATAATTTTGCATACTGCTAAATTTGAAGTAATATTTAAATCAATAATTGACTTTCTACTATTAATTTATATATTCTGGTAAATTTAAATTTAGAGAGTATAAATTAAATTATAATCCATGTCACTGTTAATTTAAATAAGTATCAAATTGCAACTAACTGTTATCAAAAATTTTGTTCAAATAAAAAATTGATCCAAATTTTTTCTCATCAGTTTATATTTTTTCTCATCACTTTAGTATTAATTTGATACATTTTTATAAATAAATAATCATTATTTTTTTTACACAAATTAATATATTCAAAAATTTGAAATTCAATAACAAGAATATTATTATAAAACATGAAGATATCGATCACTCCGAGTCTTCGACTCGGAGTTATCGCTTTCTTCATGTTTTATAATTAAAACTTGCTGCTTTGTTACTGTAACTTCATCAAAAATTATTTTCATCATTACGATTATTCATTTCTAGAATTTTCAACTAAAAATCTTTAATTTTTTTAAAAATTCTTTGTAAATTTTCAAATTCTTTTGTTTACAGTTTAATTTTAGTTTTTAATATTTTTTTTAAATCAACATAAGTTTTTTTTTTAATTTCTAATTAAATTCATTTACTGTCTTAATTTGAATCAGTTAAAAATCATGGTTCTAACTGACAATCAGTGACTAACTTTTTGCTTCTGAGTCAGTTAAAAGTATCACCAATCAAAATTAGTGATTTTCAGTAAAAAATAACTGAAAAATTAGTTAAACTTGACTAATTGAATCGTTAAAAAAAATTTCCTGAAACATTAGTTATTTTTAACTGACAATCAGTTATTTTTATCTATTTGTCAGTAGAAATATTACTATTTGAATTAGTGTTTGACTTTTTGCTTCTAAATTCGTTATTTTTAACTTAATTCATATTTAGAGGGTAAAAGTGAAATTTCCCAAAATTTAAAATCAAAATTATTAGAAGTTCATCTACTTCTGAAAATTGTAAACCCAAGTCTCTTTTAAAAGAATTCAGGTTCAGAATTCCAGGTTGCGTGGAAAACCTGAAATTAATTGACATTACAGTTTTTCTAAGAATATATATTTTTTTCGACATTCTTTGTCTCATTTTGATATTCTTAAAAAAGCTGTGATATTAAAAAAAAAAATTTTAATTCCACCTCGTAAATTCTTAAAGTTTACAAAAATCCCCCCCCCCCCCTATATGTCAATTCTAATTTTTAAAAACACGCAGTAAAATTTTCCTCTTTCTCCCCCCTCTTCATATTTCTCTTTCTCCTTAATAAATATTCACAAAAGTGTCGAAAAGTCAATTTTTTTTTCTCTTTTCAAATTGTAATAAATTGACTTATCCATCCGTTAATCTTTTCGTCTTTCAAAAAAAAAAAAAGGACCTAGATCACGTGTTTCTGTATAAGGAAGTTGAATGGTAGAGGGTAGGTAGTATATCCCCCCTCACTCTCCCCATCTCACAAGTAAGAAGAAGAAGAAGGAGAGACAGAGAGAGAGAGAGAGAGAAAGATGAAATACTCGTGTGTGCATGTGCAGACAGTCTCTTTGAACGAGGGGAGGGGGGTGGTGGTGGTTCAGGTGCGAAGAGCGTATGGGTAAAGGAGAGAGAGAGAGAGAGGGGGGGAGGGGATGATGTCTATAGGCTGCAAGTGGAATATGGTTCGGCAAGTTCGAGGCGGTTGGATGGTTGAGAGGCTTATATTGCTGCTCCACGCTCTTCTCTATGCCAGAGGCCAAACACAGACAGAGAGAAATTCACTGTCACTACACGAAAATCCTTGACAGACAGAGACAGAAATTTTCGAGGAAGTGAGTCGAGGAGACGGAAACCGGAACACAAACGTTCTGCTGAGGAGAGAGAGGAGGGGGATTTGTCCTCTCCTTCTCTCTCTCTCTCTCTCTTCTTCTTCTTTCTCTGTTTCCTTCTCTCTCTCTCTCTCTCTCTCTCTCTCTCTTTCTGTTTTCCTCTCTTTCTTTCTCTCTCTCTTTCTGTTTTACTCGCTCTCTTTCTCTCTCTCTCTTTCTGTTTTACTCTCTCTCTCTTTCTCCTGTAGAGAGAGACTGATCTTTCTCTCTTTCTTTTTCCTTCTCTCTCTTCTGTAAAGCGAGAGAAGGCTTTTTCTCTCTCTTTTGTAGAGAGAGAAGACGCTCTTCGTTAGAAAGAGAGAAAAAGAAGGAGAGAGAAAGAGAGAGGGGAAAAGGGAGAGAGAGAGAGTGAAGAAAAGGGAGAAAGAGAGAGAGAAGGAAAATGAGAGAGAGAAAGAGAAGAAGAGAGAGTTGGGCTGTGGCTGTAGCAGGATTGGTTGGCGCTGGGGGTTGCCAGTGGGGCATCCAGGGTGGGGCGAGGGGCAAAAGGGGGCACTTGGTCGAAAGCAGGAGGGCAAATGGGGGTTCGAACTCGCGGGTTGGCTCACTCTGCGGCTCCCGCCGCTCGGGAGCACACACGCGGGGCCAAAATAACTCTAATTCGAACTATTTTAATATAAGAATATAAACATTTGTAAATATCACCTCAAAAAACCAACAAAAAAAAACTACACTCTCTTTCAACAAAAAAAAACACTTCTACTTTCACTTCTCCATTTAAAACAAAATAAAAAACTCCAAAACAAAAAGAAAAAAGTCATCTATTTTTCTCAAAAAAAAAAAAAAAATACTTTCGTCGAGGAGACGAAGATTTTTCAATTTTTTTTTCTCTCCATCAATGCTGTTATAATCACTATTTGTAAACGTGTGACCCTTACATTATTTTGTCCTCCGCGTGGGACGGGTTCAGTGTTGTAACTTAGATTATAAGATAATACAACATTTAAGAAAGAAAGCATAAAAAAAATAGTGAGAGGAATAAAAAAAAACAGCAAACATTAATTTTTCTTGGATAAATGGAAGAAATAAGAAGAAGGAATAATTTAACAAAAAAAGGCTGTGCAACATTGTCCTGGGGATGTCCTGCCGTTTTGCAGAATTTCCTAAATACACTGCAAACAACGAATCCGACCAAGTTGAACGCCTATGATACGTTCTCCTGACAGATAAATAAAAAAGGATTTCGATCCTCTAAAGAAAGAGAAAAAAAGAGAGAGAGAAGAATTTCAAATTTCGCTCAAAAAAAAAAAATTGTTGCTTTTCTTGTCGCGCACGTGCCGGGGAAAGAGACTTTTAAAATACGAATTTCACTCGCGAGAACACTTTTGAAAAAAAAGAAATTATTAATTAAGATGTAATTTTGTGCCTCGTTAAACCAAACAAAAAAAAAACATGGATCTCGTGTATTAGGGTATAAGTATAAGTGCGAATTTTAGTGCCAGAGAAAAAGAGAGAGAGAAAAGGAGATAATGAATCATCGCTTTTTAGAATTTTTAAATAATAAAATAAATATAATAGAGTTTGAATAATATTTTCGAGAACAATTGTCCAGATTATTTGGGGGAAGAAATACGAAGAAAAAGATAAATTTGCTATTTGTTGATAATTATTCGGAAGAATTTTTTTTTCTTGTTTTTTTTCGGGGGGTAATTTGTGAAGTGAAAAGGATGGCGGGCTACAATCACGCGAATCCCCAGCGTGTCGTCTACCACGCGACCTACCCGACGCCTCTTGCCCCAAGTGAGTCTTCCTCACGCTATATTAAATATATATATGTATAGAGTTAGATATATATAATATTCTTTGTCATATATGTGCTTTTTAGATGTATTTTCTTTTGTCGATGACGCTACAAAAAAATATGTACGTCGTTTGCTTTGTCATATGACGTCGATGAAGGCTTTTCTTATATACCTTGTAGAAAAGTGTGCAGGGTCACGATTGACTTTTTCTTTTAAATATAAACTGTGATTTTTATTCTTAGTTTCAATATTATTTCGCTTGGCGCTTATTTTAGGAGTAAATTTGCAATTGCTTCTTGAAAAAAAAATTTTTCTTTTGAATAATTATATTTTTTACTCAAACTAAATTAATTGGTAATTATTATTTATTGTGAGTAAATATTAATTTCAAATATTAAGTAAGTGTTAATATCAAATATTAAATAAATATTAATATCAAATATTGAATACACTGAAAAAAAATTAATTTGATTCAAATAACCGATTAATTGACTATTATCAATTAAATATTTAATTGAGTCAATTAATATTTATTGGAGTCAATTAAATGGTTCAATTCATATTTGCTTCAAATACTGAAATTATTGGTTCAAATATGAATTGAACCATTTAATTGACTCCAATAAATATTATTTGATTCAAGTAAATATTTAATTGCTAATAGACAATTAATCGGTTATTTGAATCAAATAAATTTTTTTTTCAGTGTAAATATTAAGATAAATGTTAAATATTAACTAAATATTGATATTATATATTATCTAAATATTAGTATTAAATATCAAGTAAATATCAATATTAAATATTCACTAGACATGAATATTAAATATTGACTAAATATCAATATTGAATATTAACTAAATATTAATAAAAAATTAATTAATTATTAATATTAAATATCATTTGAATATTAACATTAAATAGTAATTGAATATTAAAGTTGAATATTACTTAAATGTTAATAGTAAGAATTAATTCAGAGTTACCACAGGTCAGGGAATTGAGGAAAAAGTCAGGGAAAAGTCAGGGATTTTTATTAAAAGTACTGGAAAAAATTTAATTTTTATAAATTATAAGAAAATTCTGAATTTTGTAGTCTTTTTTGTTTTCCTCATAAACTATGAAATTGCCAAGAATTATAATACAAAACCTTCAATTTTTCCTATTTCAAGAAAAATAATTTCTTTTTAAATAACTTAATTAAATATTAAATATTCTTGAAGAACTATCATAAAATTATCATTTATAAATTATTTAATGAATAATTCTACTTAAAAATTTCAAAATTAATTAGATTTCAAAAGAGTTGCAATTTACAATTTTCATAAATTGATGAACTTCAAAAGGTTTCAATTTGAAATTTTAAGAACAAAACTGATTCTTTTTCGCATAAATTCAATTATGTTAAAAATTTTTTTTTTAAATTCCTGTCAAAATTTCAATTATCTTTATAAATAATAAATTTAATTATTTTCAAAAAATTTAATAAAATTCTTGACAAAATTTCAATTATTTTCTAAAAAATTTTAGTGAAATTCTTTGTGTAACAATTCAATTTTTTTCAAAATAATTTTAATAAAATTCTTCGCAGAAATTCAATTATGTTTAAAAAATTTACAAAAACTCTCGTCAAAATTTCAATTCTCCGAAAAAAATTCTTCTCCGAAATTTAATTATTTTCAAAAAAAATTTAATAAAATTCTTCTTGGCAAAATTTCAATTATTTTCAAAAATTTTTGCTCATTTAAATTATATTTTTAATATCTATTTTAATATAATTTTCCAAATGAATCCAATTATTTAAGCAAAATTTTAATAATAGTTTTACAGGAATTCAATTACTTCATCAATTTTTTTTATAAATTTCTTCGAACCAATTCAATTATTTTTAAATTTCTAATGAAGTTTCTCGAAAGAATTCAAATATATTCAGAGAATTGAAAAAATTTGTAAACAGTTCTGAGAAATTCAATTATTTCGAAAAATTGAAATAAAATTCTTTTAAAAATTCCATTATTTAAAAAGATGTTGCCAAAATCCTTTACAAGATAATAAAATTGCAATTTTAATAAAATTTTCCTGTAGAATTAAATTATTTTTAATACAATTCTTCTTAAGAATACAATTATTTGAAGAAAAGTGGAATAAAGTTCTTCATAAAAAATCAATTATTTTCATAAATAATGAAATTTTTCTCGAGAATTCAATTATTTTAAAAGATTTTGATAAAATGCTTTATATAAATTAATTTGAAAAATTATAATAAAATTGATCGTAGAATACAATTATTTTCGTAAAATATAACATTCTTCCTAGGAATACAATTATTGGCAAAAATGTTTGTAAAAATCTTTGAAAACGATTCAATTATTTTCGTAAAAAATAAAATTCTTCGTAGAAAATCAATTATTTAAGAAATTTTAATAAAATTCTTCCCAAAAAATCAATTCTTTTCAAAAATAAACATTTTCAAAGGAATTCAATTATAAAAAATTTTTTGTTTTAAACTCTTTGTCAGATTTCAATTATTTTAAATTTTTTGATGAAATTTCTCGATGGAATTTAATTAATTTTAAAAAGTTTTTAAGAATTCTGAGAAATTCAAATATTTTAGAAAGAGAAAGATTTATTTTGGAAACGAATATTTGCTTTTTGTTATGAGCGCTTTTTAATTATTTTGTATTATTTTATTACAAAATAATTGAAAACGAATATATATTAGAAGCGAATATTTATACGAATTAAATATTTAATGAAATAAAATATTTATTGGAACAAAATTATAATTTGATGGCTTTAAATGTTTATTTCGTAAAAAGAAATATTTATTTGAACAAAATATTTATTTAAACTAAATATTTAGTTTATTTTTTTTACCAAAAATTGAAAAGAAATATTTAAACTAAATATTTATTTGTACGAAATATTGATTAAAACTACATAAGCATTTGTCTGAAGAGAATATTTATTGAAGCGAAATATTTATTGAAACCAAATAAACGTTTATTTGAAGAGAATATGTTTTTGAACCAAATATTTATTGAAATCGAATAAATATTTAGTGTAACCAAAGAAATAATTATTTTAAACAATATATTTATTGGAACGATATATTTATTGAAACCAAATAAATAATTATTTGAAGAAAATATTTATTGGAACGAAATAATTATTGAAACCAAATAAATGTTTATTTGAACTAAACACATTTCGCAAAGCAAATAAATGTTTATTTGAATTAAACATATTTCGCAAAGCAAATAAATGTTCAAACAAAATACTTATTTCAACCAAGTATTTATTGAAAACAAGTAATTATTTATTTGACCGAATTTATAATTTGTAATCAAATATTTATTTCATTGAAATATTTATCAGCTTCAAATAAATATTTATAATTGGAATATTTATTGCCTCCAAAAAAAATATATTTATTTGAAATATTTACTGCGCAACCAAATTAATATTAAAATAATAAATAATATTTAAATATTTATATATTATTATATATATATTATCCTTATTAATAAAATCAGATGTCTGTCTGTACATTGCTTAAAACTTCAAAATGTTAACATGATTAGTTATTATGGACATCAGAGATTCCAAAAATGTTCTTAAAAAATTTAATGTATGTATGTATGTATTATGTATACATACGTATGTATGTTTGTCTGTCACAAAAACTTTGTACCCCAATCACACAAAAACATGTGAATCGATTTAAGTCCAACTTGGTAGGTTATTAGGTATTGACCCAAGGAAGGTTTATAAATTTACAGATTTAAAAAATATTAATTAGAACGGGAGATATTCAATTTTTTCAAAAAATTCAAAAAATCGAAAATTTCAAAATTTTTTATTTTTCATGGATTGCTTTTGAAGTTTATATACTTGAGTATTATATGTTATTTAGTCACATTATAGCATAACTTTGCAAAAAATAAAGTCCTATAACTAATATGTAAGTATAAAAATGTTTTCAAAAAATCGAAAATTTCAAAATTTTACATTTTTTTATGGATTGCTTTTAAACTTTCTATATTTGAGTATTACATGTTATTTGGTCACATTTTAGCATAATTTTTCAAAAAATACTATTCTACAACTAAGATGTAAATATAAAAATATTTTCAAAAACTTGAAAAATGGAAAATTTCCAAATTTCACAATTTTTAATGGATAGCTTTTAAACTTTCTAAAAATGAATATTATATGTTATTTAGTCAGATTTTATCATAATTTTGCAAAAAATACTATCCTACAAGAAATATAAAAAAATTTTCAATATATCAAAAAATCGATACTAATTACTATATGAAGTATAATTCAGTAGTATTTTTGGAGTCTCTGATTAATATTTTGATGTCAAAATAGTGCAATTCAAAATTATTTATCAAATCAATCTAATATTTTCAAGAAGTTCAGAAATATTGAAAATGGAAATTTTTTATGATTAAAATGATTTCGCAGGATGTCAAGAATTGTAAGTCACCTGTGATACAATACAAGCATATTATGCCACTAGGCAAAAACTTACATGTTAAAACGTTTTTTCATTTTAACTCTAGATTTAACTTTAAGAGATGTTTTGAGCAATGTAAAGACAAAAGTTAACACGGTGTCTATTTTTGTTTAACAAAATTCCCTGCTTTGTCCAAACTTTTCACGGTTTATCTCTTTTTTGTCAAATTTAAATTTACTTGATTTTATCCATAAATAAATCTACAAATGGCTATAAAAATTTACTTATTTTATGAAAATACTGTTTCTTAAGTTCATATAAATATAGATTGTATTACTTGCTGTCGTACAGTTTTCTGTTTATACTAATACATTTAACTGGGTATCTACCAAACGGGAAAAACTGTAAAAAGCTGGGAATATGCCGAACCGGGAATTTTCCTATCAAATTAAGAAAAAGTTTCATTATATTAATTCGCTTTTAAAAAATTGCTTTTTACTTCAATTTTTATTGATGTATAATATTTATGAAAA